TGCATCTTCTTTCTTCTGATCTTTTCTCTTCTGACTCTTTTCACCTCTGCTTTTCAACTGTCCATATTGTCGGAAGTTTCACTTCTAAACTTCCTTCGATAATGTGTATATGTGTATTATATATATAATGTGTATATGTGTATTATATAATGTATAATGTATAGTATATAATGTATAATTTATAACATGATTTTAAATATAATATGTGATTTATTACATATGACATTTAATATGCAATATACACATATATTATATATAACATATATTATCATACAATATTTATAATGTATGATATTTAAGATATAATAGATGATATAAAATATATAATATTATGTAATACAATATAATACATAGTTTAATATAATACATAATATAATGTAATATGTTTTATTATATATGATATAATAAAATCTAGAATACAATACATAGTATAATACATAGTATAATACATAATATAATATAATAGAGTATATTATATTATATTATATATTTCATTAACAATCATTTAATAATATATTATTTAATATATTATAATACAATATATAGTATACAATATATAAAATATAACATAGATTATAATATAAAATATATAACATATAACATATAGTACAATATAATATTAGAATATTTTATTACATTATATGGAATCTAATAGAAGATTATATTTAATACAATATAATCTATCATTTAATATAACATAATTTATAATATAAAATATATAATATTTAATATATAATATGTAATATATACTATACGATATAATATATATACTATATAATATATAATCTATAATATATAATATATGATATATAGTATATAATATATAATTTGTAATATATAATATTTAATGTATAATATTGAATATAATAAATAATATAATATTTTATATATAATATAAAATATTATATTATATAAAATATATAATATATGATATATAATATACAATATATAATATATGACATATAATATTAATATAACATATAGAATATATAATCTAGTATATAATATAGTATATATAATATATAATATAATATATCATTTATTATATTTAAGATATGATATATAAATATATAATAGAAGATAATAAATAATATAATATAATATAATATAGTTTATGATATTGTTTAATTTAATATTGAATACAATATAATTTTTTTAATATAATATAACATAATATATAACACAATATAACATAATCTATAATATATAAGGAATAATACAATATATAATATATAATATATAAACCGTAATATTTAATCTACAATATATTAAGTATCATATTTAATATAATGTTTTAAAAATAACATATAATAAATATATATATATTTATACACATATATACAATATATAATGTAATATGTAATATATGATACAGAATATATAATATAGAATATAATATATATATTTATAGTATACAATATATTATGTATAATACATAGTACAATATATAGTATAATATATTATATATTATATATGATATATGATATATAATATATAATATAAAATATATAATATATCATATATCATATTTTTTATATATATATAGTATTATATATAATATATTAAATATGATATATAATATAATATTTCAAATATAATATATATATATATTTAAATATATAATATATGATATATAATATGTAATATTAAAAATATAATATATAATATAGTATATAATATTTTTTTTTTAATATATATTTTATATTGTATTTAAGAAATGTTATATAATGTATATTATATATAATATAAGTTATATAATATATGCTTTATTATTTATTATACATAATATATGATATACAATACATGATATTTAATATTTATAATAATATAATATATATAATATATAATATTTAATATACAATATATCAAATATAATATATAATGATATATTATTTTAAATATGATACATAATATAATATCTTTTCTATAATACTTAATATTCTATATTATATATTTATATATATATATATGATATATAATATATTATATAATATATAGTATATAATATATAAAGTAGTACATAATATTATTTATAATATATAATATAATATAATATATTATATATATATAATATTAAACTATATATATTTTATATAATATTTTATACTATAGTATATATTATATACTTATATTATTATATTATCATATTATATAAAATATAAATTATTTATATATAATTTTTAGATATTTTATATATAATATATGATATACAATATATATAATATAAAAAATATATAATATATAATATAGTTTTTAATATTATATATAATATATAATATAATATTATATATATAAAATATATAATATATATATCTTATTTATTATATATAATATATGATATACATTATATATATAATATAATATATCATATATTATTATTATATGATATACAATATATATAATATAAAATATACTTAATATATAATAGAATATATAATATTTTATTTTATTATATTTTTTTCTATTATAGATGTATATATATATATTATCTCTCATTGCCTCCGATTTTTGCGTGTTTTATCCCATGTCATGACGCTTGCTTGGTGAGGTCGCCTTGCAGCCACTCTGGTGGCTCAGGGGCAAACCCTTGAGGCAGAGAGGCTGTATCGCCAGGTGTCCGGGGACTGATGAACCCCAAAAAATGACGGTGTCAATCTGGTAATGATGTAGAATCTACTATTGAAGGGTCTATTGAAGGGCCTATTGAACGGGATGTTCATGTACATCAACCATTTGTGCTTTTTTAGGTTCTCCAACCTGCATCCATAGTATGAGAGAGGAGGGGTTTAGGTCATGGAGTGTCTGATGCGTCAAGGCGAGAAAACGGATTCTTAGGATGGATTGATACGACATTTCTGCAGTTTCCCCAAAAGAGTTTTGAGGAAAAACAAAGGAAGAGACAGGCTATAGACATTCAATATTCTTCGATTGGGTTCCTCTGGTGATGCTGTGCTGACTTTGAACGATCAGGCAGTCCAGGGTCTTTCCGGCATGCTCGGCAATGCCCATGTAGATGCCCTGGTGTGTCAGAGAGGCCTCGCCAGTGTTGCTTGGCAGATTGACCCCCAACTGATGAACAAGTTGCACAAAACCAACTCTGAATGGCTGTCAGACTGTCAAAATCTTTGATGCAAATGCTACCTTGGAATTGAAATGCTCTTTCGAGCATACGTAAGTAGTGCCTCTGGTTTTTGAGACACTTTCAAAAAAACAATCACAACGCGAAAACTAGAGGGATACTTAAGCTGCTCCATACCACATCGGGCAACATGCTCAAAGCATAGAGATGCGTCTGATACCATCATATATGCCAATCTCCAATCACAACTCGGGCTCACCAAAAACAACATCGACCAACATCGGCTTACACCCAGAAGCAAGGAATCGTGTGGGAAATTATTTGAGACTCCCTCATTCGAAGATTGGGAACCGTATCAACAATGGCATCAGCCTTCAGACTTAGCAAGTGGGTTTCTTCAAGAACAGGCTACACTGGCTAGACCACATCATCGAATGATTTAAAATTCAAGTGTCCTATATTTTCTCATTTGTTTTGATTTGTTTTGATTTGTTTTGTCATCTTTATTGTGGTAAATGAGCCATTTTTTGGTGGACTCTCAGGTCCTCCATCGCAACGGGAAATTGCAGGAAGCCGAAGTCGCCTACAAACGTGCGTATACCGGTCCCTTGCAGCAACGGGGGGTCGACCTCAATGGATATACGATTTTTTATGGCCAAAGAATGGGGAGCATCAGTAGAAACCATGGGATGGGACTGGGGCATTGGGACCCACAGATCCCAAAAAGCAGCCGCTTGCTATTGTCTCTGCCAGGATGGCTAGAGCTTCACAGTCCAGGCATAGTGAAAATGCCTTGAACGCAGGTGTATACATATGTTATTGTGCATCAAACGTATTCAAAAGTTGGATTGCATCTGCATGATATAGAGATAGGAAGATCGATAGATGGATAGTTGATTGATGTTTGTTGGAAAGTGGTAAATTCCACTTTCCAAGTGGACTTGCCAGGCTTTCACAGGCTTCCAATCAATCTATCTTGCACAGAATGCAATGCTCAACCATGCTCAACCTAGGTTTCAAAACGCGGTTGGGTTTGAAGCATTCAAAGACGCTTGCAGTGGCTTGCCGGCAAAGTGGTTTGATCAAGTGGCTCGCATGAGCAACAGGACTACCGCAGCAACCCGAAACAACCTGTGCTTATCCGGTTGCTGTCCTTATCCGGTTGCTGATTTCAACTATGTTTTTCTTCATCTTCCATCATTTTCCATCATTTTTCATCATTTTTCATCATTTTCCATCATTTTCCATAGTTTTTCATCATTTTCCATCATTTTTCATCATTTTCCATCATTTTCCATCATTTTCCATCATTTTCCATCATTTTCCATCATTTTCCATCATTTTCCACCAAACAATTCGGATGATCCCACTTCAGCAATGGATGGCTTGAAACCACCGTTCTCCACTCGCGCCGAAACCTCAACGGTTCCTCTCTCCCAAGGCCTTGGAAGGTCTGGCGGCGGTCCTCAAGGAAGCAGGCGGTGCCATCTAGGAGATCCCATTTTTTTCGGAGAAAAGCATCTGTAAATGGAAAGAAAACCCATGAAAAACATATCTATAAAATTCTATAAATATCCAGAGAGATGGATTTGGTGGATGTATGTGGATGTATGATATTGGCCAAGTGAGTTGTACCGGAGGGATGTACAGTAGATTTCTTGGATTTTGAACAATGCGTGGTCCTATTTGATGGATGCAAATGGATGCAACGCATCTGTGCCTCCTAAGCTACAACATGGTGCTGAAGTGTGCAATGGCAACGTCCATTCGAAGCGTGTTGTTTGGTGTACATAGTCAGATCATGTTGGATCATGTTTTTTTCCAAGCGCTTACGTGGAGGTTTTCCTAACATGGGGGTGCCCCCAAATCATCCATTTTTACCCTCTGGTGAACTAACATAGCAATGGAAAATCACCATTTTTCATGGGAAAATCCACTATAAATGGCCATTTTCCATTGCTATGTTAGTTCACCAGAGGGTAACCATTTCATTTTCGGATTTTCCATTTTGGAAACTATCAGCTGCGGTCCCCCCATGACTTGTCGGACACCTCCATGTTTTTTTTTTTTGTGCGGTCATTCCTCAGCAAGGCAAATCTGAAGACGCTGAGCTCCTCTACCAGAAGCTCACCACCGTCCTGGCTTCGGTCTATGGCGAGAGCAGTCCTGAAACGCTGAGTGCAGCAACTTGTCGCAACGCGATCCAGGAAGCTGATATAAAGTGCTTTTGGTTTAATGAACACAAGGGAGAATCTAGACCATGACATTCTTCTCCCTACATATATTATATAATTTATATACAGGGAATGATATAGTATATGAACAGATTAGATATGATTAGATTATATAGACTATGTATTTACATACCCCTTGGACCACTCGGCTCTTTCCAAGGTAGGACATCATGCCTCCGTTCTGAGAGATCAGGACTTTTGACAGCTGTTTGAATGTTTTGCAAATGTCCCAATTTTAAAACTGTTTCAGAGACATCCTAAGCCACTTCTTTGGGGCCCTTACCCAAAGATCCCCAAAGATCCTCAACCATCCCGGACCATCCATCAGGCCCCGCCACAGGAGCGCTTGGAAGAAGCCGAAGAGTTGTATCGCTTTGTCCTGCAGGGCCTAGTCCAACACTACGGTGCCGCTGGTGGTGTAATCAACATATTCAAAATCCAACTTGGGATCATTGCAGTTAATTGGACAGTTATAGTTTGTATAGTGTGGACTTGCAACTTTCGATCGATTCTGGACTATACTTTGTGTCGTTTGGATAGTATGGGATATTGCGGGATACTACTGGTTAGATTATGGATATGATGGGGATGGGGCACCTTGATGGTTTTTGTTGAGCTTGTTTGGTTTTGAGAACGGTTTGATCCACTGCCTGATTTGCTATGGATACTAGGGATATCTACATGACATAGAGATATCTATAGATTATCGATGGATATACTGCCAGATGCTTCACAAGCACCAGGTGAAGAGGACATGCTGAGCATCTCATGCCAGAACAAATTGGCTGCAGTGCTGCAACAAGAGAGGACACTTGACGCACGCTATTGAGGTGGACAACCGTCTCTTTTTCTCTCTTTTTCATGTACGTCCCCAAAATATATAGATAGAACAGTTATTTACAACAATTTTGGTGGGATTTTACTTCTGTATTGTTTTGATTCTTTTTGGGGGTTGCTAGAACGCTTTGAGAACGTGTGCCTGGGGTGCTTTTTGTGGATCACGACATGTAGTTGGCCGAAGGAAGTTTGCAGAGAGTGCAGAGCTCTTCAGGACACATTCTGTTCTGTATCGACGGAACTGGTCAAGCAGCAGCATTTTTTTTCTCAGGAATTTGGCACTCAATAGCTCTTGATAGACTCCACATGTTGCAGATTGCAGAAGTTTTTTCAACTTGACAGGAGACTGGCGCAGTGTTCAAAACCACTGTTGGTCGATGATTATACTACCCTTTTACATATTGAAGATATTTGAAGATGATCATATATCATAATCCATGAGATGGGAATCCTGTTTTTTTTTCACCAGTATCACGACAGATGGATCGAACAGCAGATTTACAGCAGATTTACAGCAGATGATTTCCCTAGATTATAGCCATATTATACCCATATTATATCACAATGAAATGCAGCAGATATCAGGGATGCGAACTATACCCACTGCCTTCGCTGCCAGGAGGACGGTGAAGAGCCTAGTGAAGCAGCTGGGGCTGGAGCATCCAGAGACCCGCGACTTGGACGCAACTTGCGACTTGGTGGAGTTGACAACTCTCTGAGTTACCCTCTGGTAAACTAACATAGCTATGGAAAATGGCCCATTATAGATGGTTTACCTACTAAAAATTGTGATTTTCCATGGCTATGTTAAATAACCAGAGAGTATAATAGTTATAGTTATTCTATGTCAATCTGGTTGGTGGTTTGGAACATGGTTTTTTTTCATAGGTTGGGAATAATATAATCCCAACTGACTGACTGATATTTTTCAGAGGGGTTGAAACCACCAACCAGTAATTGTTTTGATTAGTTGATTAACCTGACAATCACTGGCTAGGTGAATAATGACTATTAGATACTATTAGTGACTTACTGTAGCTGATACTTTAGACACCTGATTAGTTGATGACTGACTGGGTTAAACTTCATTGTTTGGCTAGGATATGATGACTGGCTAGGATAATCATGGATTATCTTCATTAGTTGACTTTAATGGATATTATATCCACTAAGTGATAACTGGCTAGGTGACATATGGCTATGAATCAATACCTATTAATACCGTTTTTAGTGGGATGAACATCCATTTATCAGCTATTTTGATGTTCACCAGGGGTACAAGGTTTTGACACACTGCCATATCACTAGTTGATAACTGACTGACTCTTTCGTTGAAAAACGCGGCATGTCGGTGACTTCAGTCTGTCGTTTTTTCGAGTCATCGCCTAGGCAAAGCCATGCTGGGCTTGGCGATGGCAGCTCGGCATCCACTGTGATCCTTTTAAAAAAGGCCTGTCAGGCTGTCAGGATAGCATATCTGTATAATAAATATACTATGACTATAGATGATTATAGATGATTATGGATGATTATAGATGATTCTAGATGATTATAGATGATTATAGATGATTATAGATGATTATAGTTTATATATATAATATATACTAATGCACATTAAATTATGATGTAATATAATGTAATATATATATATACAGATGTATATATTATATATAATGTATACGCACACCTACCATTACCTACCCACATATCATTTTGTGGTCCATCTGTTTTCCATAGCTATGTATCCATTCAAGGGGTCAATGATGGAATTTCCTAACCTTTCTCAGACTCAGTGAGTGCAACCTTTCCGTCTCAAGAAGTTTGTTCAATTCATTCTAGCAGTTTCTTCGACAACACTGTTCAGAAACTCCCAAGATAAAATTAAGAATTCTATAGAACTCTGAAATCATCGATCTTCCTAAATTTCTATAGGTTTTTCAATCATTTCTTCCTAAATTGATCCTCCCAATCATCAATCTGTCTAAGGTTTTAAAGGAGGATTGTCCTGTTGAAGCTGCTGCACTCATTCGACTACTTCAACCTGCAAGACCAAGCAGCATCCAAGTGGCAGATGGGGAAAGATCCTGGCTGCTGCAATGAGGGGATGTTCCCTTTTGCTTTGTTCGTATAATATATCTATGTTGCTTTGTTTGTATAGTATGTATCTATATGATTCTACATGTATATGATTCTATATATATGTGTATATATATATATACACATGCAAGATGGCAACTTGGACAAAAGGATCATAGTACAAGCAAAATACACTCCAACAATATCACAACACCATGTACGAACGGACACCGTTTGGAGGATATTTCTGCTTGAAGCCGCGAACATGCCACCAGCACAGGTTCACGGGCACAGAGCAAGGCGCCCCGGCGGCCCAACTCCTTTACTGGCGGCCAAGGCGGAACGGCCGTAGGGAGGTCTGTAGAGAATGGTGTAATGTGAAATGATATAGGACAAGATAGAGCAACATATGACAAGATAAATATATGTGTATGATGTATATGTCTTATAATAATGTATTATATATACATATTATCATTAATTATGTTTAATTTATTATAGTTATATAGTTTGTTACATCTCTATATATAGATATATAGAGATAATAGAGATATATACAAATCTATATATACACGTAACGTACGTACATTAGTGACTATACACGTATATGTTGGCACGATATCATTGATACATTGTTTGTTTCTATATGTATACACTGAAGATTTTCATGAGAATCCCAGGTGATGTGGGATGGCACTCCACCAGATGTTTAAAGCAACTTCCGCAGAAAGTGTCTGTCTGAAAAAATCGTGCCCGAAGTCCATGGTTCATTGTTATGCTTTCCACTCAAATGTCCATTCATTCTTGCAGGGCACTTTCCACATCAAAAACCCAGCCCTGCAGGTGATCTGAAGCTGGACATGAGTGCCGACTTCCGTCGCCATGTGACCGCCTGATCGGTTTTGATCATCTGACTGTTTGTGTCGGGAGATGACGACCTGTTTCTGCACCTGCAGATGTGACCTGGGAAAAAGAAGCCAAGCAGATGGGATCAGATGGGGATGGGGTCTCGGTTTTGGATGAGATTAAGACATGATGAAACAAGATGAGACCATAGTATATAATATTATCATTATTGTTGTTATAAATATTAATTATTATTATTAAACATTATGAAACCCCTTCCAGCGTCAAGAACTGTGATGCTTGAGCTTCTGAATCTCTGGGTGCGTCGCAAGTGGCAACGGCGCACAGTGGAGACTGCGTAGGCATGTTGTTCATGTCACCAGACGACATAAGCGCAGATTTCTTTGGAGGGAACAAGCACTTTTTCGTGTGTACAAAGATGTATAAAGCTTTTTCAATGCATTTCATGACGGTGAGAATCTCGTCATGTTTCCTTTTTGCTGCTTCAGGTCCGCTACTTCGCGTAATTTCGACCAAAGCAGACACGTTGCATGGGCAGTTGTGCTGAAGGCACAATTGCACTGCGTCAATTTGCAAGTTCCACAAGTTCTCTCCCACTCCCACATTGTCGGATATATATCCACATGCCAGAGCATGGAGTGAACGACGAAGCATTGGCTGTGTCTGCCATGCGACATGTTCATTCTTTAGTGTGCATCGTGTTATGTTATAGACAGAGGGAGTAGGAAAGGCCTGCATCCCATTTGACCATTTTTAAATATTTTTTAGCCTTCAAGCGTTTCAAGACTTTCCGTACACCTTCATTTTCCCATTGCCAGATCCCTGAACACTTCCTGAGGAAGGGAAACTGCTTGCAGCACGACCTGCAATTCATCAAAGTCATTCCAATTCTTTCTCTAGCTCAGGTGGATTATACTTATGAGATACATTTTGACTTAGATAACATTCCTTCTCCTGTAGAAGAAGGAAATGTGGATCATCACACTTTGCACTTTCAAGCTTGATGTAGAAGGTTAGGCTTCCTCATGAAGGGTCAGACGCTGGCAGCATTTGCTGCGCCGGAGAACCACCCATCCGTGTGGAACAAGTTTGCAACCGCAGCGCGTCAACCTTTATTGTGTTCGGTTTGTGCTTTCACTTAAATTATGATGGAGGAACTCTGCCACTATGCGCCTGAGGGCACCACATCAACATAACGGAGCAATCTCAAATCTCTCAAACCAGTCTCAATCAGAATCTTCAACGAACTTTATTCGATGATCAGGAAATGATTGAGTACGGAGCATTGCAATACCACCAGCCATCCACCGGTTTAAGGTCACCTGCCGCCAGCTACATCTGATGCCACTGTACGTGCCAGCGTAAGTTCAGCGTTCCCCTGGATATGGATGGATGTAGACTATACGGATTCCACGATGAGCCGGGTTGTTTTGGGCAGGTGATGACTTCAGAAAGCTAAATAGGCTTGGACATGTTTGGACAATATTGGATAAGGTCACCTACAGTTAAAGAGGGTTTCACGCTGATTCCTATTGAATCAAGGCCAAAACTGGGACCTTTGACCCAGCCATTTCGGCTGTTTCATGTCCTTGGGCCATTGGAGCCTTGAAACTGCCCGGCTCAGCGTGAAAGGTGTTGGCTGCTCGCAAGCTGCTCTATGCTTTGATGAGCTACAAGGACGACAAGGTCTCGAAATTGGAAACCCAAATCATTGAATTTCAAAGCGCCTGAAAAAATGGGCCCCTGGGGGGTCTCCAATTTTCAGACCCACATCAGCAACTGGTGGCTGGTGTCTTCAGAGATATCATGGATTCCAAATACGTCCCGTCCGTTGTGGGGGACTGATATGGACTGATATATTTTAAGCGGGATCGGTCGATTGAAGCTTACAAGCAGTTTTGTTTCGAATGATGGAGATATGAATCTGTTGCCATTGCAGGTCCAAACAGAAGCCTTGCAGCGGATACTGAGGCAGGGTTGGAGCCATGGAGTCAGGCTCTTTATGGGTGCGAAATTATGACTCCCAAATAGATTGACCCAAATAGATCAACATGGGAACGCTACGATTTCGGCAAATGTTCTTTTTTGGAAATTATCATTTCCGCGGATATCCAATGTCAACCGTGTAAACATGCCTTGGCAGTTCAGAGTGACGGCCATTGAGGGTTGCACAGGGGTGTTGCATGGTCGAAATGGATTCAACTGGGATCAAAGAAAACACTTGTTTCCAAGTGCAGCCAGCTGCGATTCTGATGAGCTCCGTGTGGAATTTCAGTGCTTTCTCAGGATGCCGATCCACAATATCATGATCGCCTTGTATCCTCGTGCGGGGGAACCCAGCCGTGTCAGTGTATTGTTCAGCCAGCGACTTCACTTGAATTTCTCGAACCTTCGAGGTCATCTAAATGGAAGCATCACATGAGTCAAAGACCTCTCCCTGATCTTTGAATCGGAACAAGGGTTCCAAAAAATCAGAAGCTAGATGAAAACTCATGTCCTTACTAAACTTACTAGGAGGTACCAGTGCAGACCAGCTTTGCAACTTACCTATTGATATAATTCTGGATAGATTATACAATTATACAACCTCACTGCAACATCACAATGATGCTTAGTGAGGGATAGCTATCCCCTTAAATGGTTTATTTATGGTTTCAGGTTAGTGATATCAGTGAGAGGGTCACCTTTCGGGGTTGGTGCTTCCCCACACCTGGCAGGTTTATCCACTTCCAGGCAACACGCCAGAAGGCGTTGATCTTCCAAGGCGACATCGGCACAGCGGATCCTGGGAGAATAGTGGAAGAGATTAAGACATGTTCAGCGAGAACGTTCTATAACGCCAACTGGCAGCACATCAAGCTGCACCACACGATGAAAAAATGCTGCTGTGAGGCATTGCTTAGCACTTGAAGAGCAAGTGTCCAGGAGCCCTGTGGATACGGGTGACACCGGTCATCGTGTAGGCTTTAAGACTTTAAGCCCGAAGACTTTGGTACAAAGTCCCAGCAGATTAATCTCTTGAGTCTTCTTTTGAAAGAGTGTTTGAAACCAATAAACTTAGCGTTTGAAAATGAGAAATTGTCTTACGCGCAGATTCACTGAAACCCGTTGACACACAACAACAGCACATAGTACCACAGTAGCTTGGATTTCTCCAGAGGTCACACCCAAACTGATAGTCGAAAGAGTCGGAGTTGGATGCAGGGGGCCCGCGCCCGCCTACCTCATCACCAATGGCCTCGGCATGTGGTATCATCAGTCAGGAGTGGATTTGATTGGGCAGGACTTGGGACTCTTAGGAACGAGCGGAGCAAGTAGTACCGTGGCCCTTTAATGCATGGTACAAATGGGTGTGTCCCCGGAATGTTTCTTTTTTTTCTCCTCTTTCGCTGGTTGGTTGTTGAAACGATTCTTGTTTTCCATCCAGCAAAATGATGATCCCCAGTGACGAGCATCCATTCTTCAGGGGGTTGAAACCACCAACCAGTTTATTTCTTGCGGATCGCTATTAAAATTGAAGCATTCCTTGCACGATCTTGGATGCGCAGGGGACCAGCCAGACCTGCGGGAGGCTGCTGGCGAGCTGGCAGAAAGGACCATGGAACACATAGGAGGGAGGGTCACTGAAATGATGGTTAGTAATGGGTGACTATCCCCAAATGCTCTTGATTCAGATTTAGGTTGGTGAACTGCTATATTTTCACTTGAATCCCATTGAGCAGTGCTCTGCAGTGGCCAAAACAGAGTGGAATCCGTCAAAAACGTCCAAAAACCTGGATGACGAATGAGGATGGAGAATCACCCATAAATAGCTGTAGATTCCGTGGTCTTTATGGAGTGCCAACTAACAGCCATCATTCGGGGATATTGAGAGGTTGAGCCCCTGCTTGAGGGAATTCAACTGAGGTCATTTGATCATCAAGTAGTGTCCTTCATGGTTCCAATCTTCAAGGATTTTCTTTGCTCATTTGATTGCCGAACAGCCTTGATCCAGTCCAGACGCCCATGAGGATACGAGAGGTACTACAGCCAGTCTCAGACTCTTGGTTCAACCGGATTCAAGCGTGGTATCGCAAAACTTTTGAGTCTCTACGAAACAATCCGAAACAATCCAAAACATAGAGAGCTGAGTATATATTGTTTCTCTCGAGCACACAGATGAACAGGATCAGTGCAAGCCTTGTACGTGCAAGCATTTTGCGAATACGGGTGCTGCTTGCCCGTGCGTGGAGAGCATGGTGTTGCTTGAATATCAAATCTTGCACTCAATGGCAGGTCACAGTAAGATATATTAATATTGCTTTGTTTCCAAAGGCTGGCAGCCAGCAGACTTTTGCAACGACTTGAGGACTGGATCCCACTGCATGATCTTCCAAAACTGTCTGTGCTGAAGACAGAGGACAGGGTGAATCCGTTTCGTTTTTGGCCTCCAATTTCAAAGTCCAGTGATGTCTGAAGTTTTATGCCACCAGCTAGTACAACCTAGGTCTTACAAATTCTACCCCCACTTTCGCGCCCAGCGCACCCATTATTGTCTAATAACCATTCACCATAGACCAATTAAACATGCCATAGTTATATATAGTTATAAGTATTTATAAGTTATAAAATATAGTTATAATATATAGTTATGATATATATATGGGAGCCGTCCGTAAAAGCAGGTCACAAATTTATGAACTGATGCGTTTACTTTGCTTTGCGCGATTGCTAAAACCTGCATCGCGATAGGCTGAGCGATTGGTTGGCGATTGGTTATACGGCTACCACCTTATTGCTACTACTACTACCAGTACTACTACTACTACTACTACTAACTACTACTACTACTACTACTTTTACTACTAGTACTGCTAGTACTACTACTACTACTACTACGACTACTACGACTACTACGACTACTACGACTACTACGACTACTACGACTACTACGACTACTACGACTACTACGACTACTACGACTACTACTACTACTACTACTACTAGTACGAGTACGAGTACGACTACTACTACTACTACTTCTACTACTACTACTACTATTACTACTACTACTACTACTACTTTCGAGACCAGAACCATGCCAATAATTGACATGGCCGCGCGGATTCCGATTCCGCGCGCGCGGAATCCGCGCAGATGTTTTCAGGTCAGAAGGACATTCAAGCTAGCTCCAATTGAAAACAGGTCAGAAACAGGTCAGAAACAGGTCAGAAACACCAAAAAGGCAGCACTTACTTGCCTAGCATCCCATCCATCCATCCATCCATCCATCCATCCACCTCAGCTCTTATCATTGCTACTAATACTACTACTACTACTACTCGTGCTACTACTAGTACTGCTACTACTACTGCTACTACTGCTACTACTACTACTCCTACTCCTACTCCTACTTCTACTCCTACTCCTACTCCTACTCCAAACGCAACCTCTCTCTCTCTCTCTCCCTTGCCTATTCCCTCACCCTCCTACCAGAACTCCTACGCCTACTCCTATTCCAATTTCCACTACCACTACTGCTAGTGCTACTGCTACTGCTAGTCCTGCTGTACTACTGTGAGTTTTCCGGACCGTTTCCGGACCGCGCAAGCTTATTTTGCTTCCAAATTTGAAATCGAATGCGTTCACGCATGGATCCTTACTCCCACTACTAGATTTGCTACTACTCTTAGTACTACCACCACACCCGCTGCTACTGCACCACCACTACCACTAGTACACCTAGGAATTTCTGCTCTTGCTTTTAAATCCAATTGACACGAGTTCCGCTGAAGGGTCAGAAACGAGTCAGAAACCAGTCAGAAACCAGTCAGAAACCCGTCAGAAACCGGTCAAACGCAACCATCTGTTTCCCCCTCCCTCCCTCCTCTCTCTCTCTCTCTTTCTCTCTTTCCCTCCCTCTCCCTTTCTTCCCTTGCCCTGCTACTAGAACTCCTTCTCCTATTCCTACTCCTACTCCTACTCTTACCCCTCCTACTACTACTACTACTACTACTACGACTACGACTACGACTACGACTACGACTACGACTACGACTAGTACGACTAGTACTACTAGTACTACTAGTACTACTAGTACTACTAGTACTACTAGTACTACTAGTACTACTGCTGCTGGTACTACTGTGAGTTTTTCGGACCGTTTCCGGACCGCGCGAGCTTATTTTGTTCCCAAATTTGAAATCGAATGCGTTCACGCATGGATCCTCATTATATAATACATAACTTATATTTTATGTAAATGATCTGATCAACGAAGAACAAACCCTTCCGCGATTGCTCACTGTGTTACCGCGGTTGCTACGCGATTGGCTGAGCGATTGAGGGCTGTCCGGGAAAAGGTATTTTGGACAACCCCCATATATAGTTATATATAGTTATATATATAATAGAGATATAGAGAGTTATATATAGTCATATATAGTTTTATATAGTTATATATAGTTATATATGGTTATATATAGTTATATATAGTTATATAAAGCTTTGTAGTATTATATATAGTTATGTATAGTTATATATAGTTTTGTAATATGATATACAGTTATATATAGTTATATATAGTTATATGTAGTTATATATAGTTATATATAGTTATATATAGTTATATATGGTTATGTATAGTTACTGTATATATATAGTTTTATATAGTTTTATATAGTTATATATAGTTATATATAGTTATATATAGTTATATATAGTTATATATAGTTATATATAGTTATATATAGTTATTTATATAGTTATATATAGTTATATATAGTTATATATAGTTATGTATAGTCATATATAGTTAGTTAAATATAGTTATATATAGTTATATATAGTTAAATATAGTTATATATAGTTATATATAGTTATATATAGTTATATATAGTTATATATAGTTATATATAGTTTTGTAGTATTATATATAGTTATGTATAGTTATATATAGTCTTGTGATATTATATATAGTTATATTTAGTTTTGTAATATTATATATAGTTATATATAGTTATATATAGTTATATATAGTTTTATATAGTTATATATAGTTATATATAGCTATATATAGCTGCTTTATATAGTTATATATAGTTATATATAGTTATATATAGTTATATAGTATTATATACTATTAGATACTTACTATTATAAATACTATTGTATAGATTTATACCATTAAATTCTCGGCCCAGGTATACCAGGTTCCACCAGTCCCTATACCCCCAGTTATGGCAGTTCCAGGAGAAGATCATGCAGGAGGCCACGCCCAGTGGCCGGCCTCGATACGGAAGTGGCCAGCTCAGTGGGGTTTGGACAAAGAAGGTGTGCAGAACCAACAAAAATTGAAACATGTTCGAAATTGGTCGGAAACTAATAGATGTTGATGATCTTGATGACATATTGAGAGTCTTGGCATGGCGCAGAATGGCACAGAAGTCCTTGAAACCTCCAAATCACGCGCTTGTGGTCTTGATGAGACATTGCTCTAGCTTCAAGGTCGAACACCAAGCGCGGTGGTCACCAAACAGACTGAACATATCTCCTGGCCAGAGAAGGTGCCGGAAAGAACATCCGCTCCGCTTCCTCTAAACACATCAGAGTGCTGCTTATATGCATATGATGGTTATATGAAACATATTGAAATATTAGTACGATTAATATGTCATAGTACTGTCATAGACTCAAAATAAACAAAATCACCGCCGGTCCGTGGTCCAGCCGCAGCAACAGTTCGCTGGGAGGTGTTATTGTCATCCCTTTTTGTCGAAGACACGGGTGTCCGATCCCAAGTTCTTGGGGAGCCACAAAAATCAGACCTTAGCGGCTAGCTGAGACACCAATCCTGCATTGCCAGATTCTGATTGCATGGTTTCTACGTGTTTCTGTGCGGATGCCGTCTCAGAACGAAACTGTATATAGAAAGGCTGAGTCAACTGATGTTGCAGGATGTTGCAGAACTTGCGGTTTAGATTCACTTGAGATGTTTCAGTCAAAGTCCTTTGTAAGTGAAGTTGAACAAGTAGAAAGAAGGTTGATGACGGTTTCTTTTCAAAAAGAAAGTGACACCACCCAAATCCACCTGACACATTACAATCATTACCTCAACGCTGAGGGCACAGAGATGTCGTATCCTGACTGGGTTTGCTTCCTCCAGGCCAGAAATAGCACTCAGAGTTGACACCAGCAACAGTGGGTGTTTCGTTCATTTTCGCATTGATTTTTGTAAAACAATGATTATATTATACATATATTTTACGTGTATATATGTGTTTAATTTATTTATTGTAATTATAATAAATTATATTACAGTATCAGTATAAATGATATATGTATATACTTATAAAATTCATTGTAACCAAGAATAATACATGATATTAATATGAAGCCCCTCAAGGTTGGGCCCTACCCGCAACAAGGGGTTGTATTAAGTTAACGACAGCATCGCAGTTTTGGTGCTTTTGTGGCATATCTCAATGTGGTCCTTCTCTTTCTGTTGAAGTCAGACGGCCAGGAGCAAATCGCTTCGCGTATCTACGGGGAGAGCTAGTGCGGACCTAGCTCTGGCACTCGCAAAGCGAGTAAGGTTCGAAACGAGAGGGAAGCCTTTCGACATCTTTCAAAACATGGAAGTTATTACTCATGATTACTCAAATGCAAAGATTATACTACTTACTTACATTCCATGTTATTGGAACGCACTCTTTGTCTCTTCTTAGCAATTCTTCACAAAATTCTTGATGTTTTGTATCCCGTCTTTCTGGAAACCAATGCGAGCTAACACAGGAGAATGCCTGTTCAGCTTTGAGGGGCGGCAGACCGCCAGCTTGCGCAAAGCGCAAGAGGCTGAAGCTCGCTGCGCAGTGAAGATACAACATATCCACCTCTTCCAGTGAGATCCATCAGAAAACATTGGACATTTGCTGTTTGCTTTTGCCCCGAGCTATGACGCCCAGTTCCAAGGGTAGCCGCTTGTCCTTTTCCAGAGAATTTTTGCAATTCTCAATTCAGTGCGGGCCCGGGTGGTCCTTAATCCCTGCAGGTAACAATGTCAAGGGATTTTTGTGCACTGCACTGCAAGTTGCTTTTTTGGGTCCTGGCAACCCGATGCCGTTTGATGCATGATACAACAATGTCATCAGATGATCACCGGACCATAAAGCAACTTTATGTATTATTCTTAGCCAACATCATGAAAGATGAAAGACTACAGTAACTGGTGGCCACTGGTGGCCAATACACATGAATAAGAGTATTATAATATGTACTAACTATAGCAGGTATTTGTCCCTCTGATTGGATCCTCAAAGCGAACCGCGCATCACCAACGGCCACGGGTCGCCTGGACGGCACTATGCAGACGCTGCGCTGACCAGCTGACGTAGCGAGTCATTCTGTATAGTGTAGCTGGACAATGGCAGCAACTGGAGGGATATTAGATAGACTTGGGGACCTACTAGTGATACACCATATATATATATTAATATATAAGTCATATATATATAATATATCATATAACTGGTGACTCGCATCTCAGGACAATCCTCAGTCTTAGGTGGTTCATAATTTATAATCCATTATAATCCATTATAATCCATGATAATCCATTATAATCCATTAATCCAACTGGTGATTTTCCCGGGTATCGTGTGATTGTTACCCACTTTTTTTGGATGGTCCGTGAAGTCCTGAGTCGTTGAGCTGTTGTCAGATCTTTGATGGTGAAACCATGAACAAAGTTGGGCTTTGCAAGGAGCCTATCAACAGTATACTTGTTGACTTCATTCATCTCCATCAAGTGTGCAGAGTAGATTTTGCTTGAGGATTTATATAGGTAGGATACGTTAGAATTGATGGAGTTGAAGTCCGCTTGATTTTCGGTTCCGAAGCTGCGAATGTGGCTGCACCTCTCTATTTGTATCCAGATTCCACTGCTAAAAGGGTCGACAGATGTCCGCAGCATAGGGGGTATAGTTGCAGACATGTCGCAGGAAGTCGTCCCACATCCGTTGTGTCATGGGGAAGTGCTCAACTTCTGTTAGTCGTTGGGAAGTAGTTGGTGGGTTGGTCAGTGTAGCCTCCAGAAAATATATGTCACTGTGTGAATATATATATATAATTATATATATATATGTATATATATGTGTTTCATTTTACACAGATCACAGGTGTTACTATTGTGTGGCCGTTTAAGATTTGGTGTATCTCTTGCAGCCGGGCTTCCGTGGAGCTGACAGCCACCAGGCCCGGTTCTTGCCACTGAAAGAGAAGGGTTGAATTCAGAGGGATTGGATGGATCAAAGTTTGCACTGTATGTTGGTTTCAGAGATTGAATTTGGTTGTTTCACTGTATGTTTTTCTGTATGTTTTCAAGCATTTTGGGAGGTTCTATCCTGATGGGTTACAAAGATGACTTCAAATTAGTTTTTTGCCTTAGTGTCATCTTCTAGAGCGACTCCAGCAGGAAGCTGGCGCCCCACCAAACAGCAAGCAGACCGCAAACCTTGTTGGTATAATATGCTGGGTGAGTCGCAACTTGTTTTTTCCCATTGCTTCAGTCTTCTCAGCTGCCGTTGTTGAGGCGCAGTTGTTGAACGCATGGTTTACGCCTGAGAGAAAAGCACAGAGAAAGAACTTGAGGATGATCACAGACAACTTCTGAAACGGTGAGTTGATCTCATTTCGGAAGCCTGCGTCCGCTCGTGGACCGCCAACATTTCCTTACGGTTCATTGAGCAGGAACTCAATCAGATCTTCATTGAAGCTGCTGATAGCTGCATAGTTTGTGATTCGGTGCTGATTGGTGCAATATGGTGCAATGTGAGTCGAGGTTCATCCCCACACCACCCCTGCGGAAAGAAACGATGGTTTCTGGCACTAAAGGCTTGAGGGATAGTTCGCCATCTACCAGATTTTATGCAATGGCTTTTATCCACAGAAGACTCAGTTGAAAACGGCTTCAAGTTCCTGACTTCCAAAATAGTCAAGACAATGCTTTTGCTGCTGATTTTTGATGAGTTTTGTGAATTGATTTTTCAATATTTTTGGTGCTTTTGTTGAAATCGGGTGTCGTTTGATCTGGATGGAATGGACCGTGAGATTCCGCAGCTGTGAAAAGCAAGGACGGAGATGGGTCGAAAATCAGGCATGGCAACAAACATCACGTCAAATAGCAGAGATAATATGTATAGAGATAAGAAGTAATATTCTTCACTTAAAGCATTGTAGGTGGAGATCATCGCTCGTCAAGATTCAGGTGATCAGAATCTAAGGCTTTGGCCTTTGTGAGTCTTGCACCGTCGCTTGCTGCAGCTGTCCCATCTGTCCCGCGACCCGATGATTCCATGGCATGTCACGAAAGTGTTTCTGCTATGGGCGTCCATGGGCCTGACGGCCAACGGGGAGCTATCCGTCACATGGAGCTACCAATCAGGAGGCACGTCAAATGACGAGGCCTATGGTTTTGCAGTTGACCCGAGCACCAAGGATATGGTTTTGGCAGGTTACACCGAGGGATCCGTTCATGGCAATACCCTAACAGGATACAAAGATTGGGTTGCACTCAAGTTGGATAAGGATGGAGCCCTGCTGTGGACCTTTCAGTTCGGCGAAGCCTCGAGCTATTCCACAGTGAACGCCGTGGCTATCGATGGTTCTAGCAATGTGGTTCTTGTAGGGACTCATCAAGGAAGTTTGTTGGGCGTTTCCGCTGGTGAGCGTGATATCGCAGTGGTGATGCTGAACAGTGCTGGTGTCCAACAATGGTCTTATCAGACTGGATCCACCCTTTGGGACGCCGCACAATGCGTTGCTATCGACTCATCTGGCAACGTCATTGTGGGTGGCTGGGGGCGAGGTGCCATCTCCGGGCATACTTTTCAAGGTGGTACGACTGATTCGGTCCTGTTGAAGCTGGATAGCGCGGGATCCGAACAGTGGGTGTTGCAAACCACATTGTCAACCAGCGGCGACGATTACATTAGAGGCGTGACAACGGATTCTTCTGAAACTTGGATCAACTGTACTTTTTTGATGGTCTGGATGCTGGATAAACTATGATAATCTAAAGATTATCTAAAGCGTTTCGGCCAAGGGTTATGTTCTGGAATGGACGTTTGCAAACGTTTGTTTCGTCAGCGCTCAAGATTGTGGCAGGCTTTTGGCCAGCGTTTTTCTGAATCGATGGACTAAGCTGCATTTTACTAAGTTAACTGCTAGGCTGCTAACAGAAACAACTCGCATGGGCCCGACACGAGGACAATATCTACGTGACTGGAGATGTTGGTGCTGCTTTTGATGGCAACACTCATTCTGGAGGTAGAGATGTTTTCGTCTTGAAAACAAACAGTGCAGGCTGGATCTTGGGTCTGTAATTAGTTCATATTAGTTCCCAATTGTATCCAAGTGTTGCTTTTTCAGTTTTGGCTAAAGGGCTAAAGAAACTGTCCTTGTTGCCCAGCTGCGTTTTTTATTGTGCCAGGTACTTTCCAATGGTCTTACCAAACCGGAACTACTTCAACAGACGCTGGGAAAAGCATTCAACTCAACCTTGACGGCGATGTGATCGTTGGTGGAACAACCTATGGCAGTTTGCCCGGCAACACCAATGCTGGAACCGGCATTGACAGCTTCATTCTGAAGCTCAGCGCGGCTGGGTCAGAGCAATGGTTGATACAAATTGGAACTGCCACTGACACGGGTGAAACGCTCCAGGGGCTGACGGTTCACCCTTCATCTGGCAACTTTGCCATTTATGGAACACATACTGGTGATTTCAACGGGGACACCAATGCGGGTGGCAACGACTGGTGGGCAGTAGAGTATGACACAAGTGGCTCTTTGCAGTGGTCCTACCAATATGGAACGTCTTCAGGTAGGGAAACATTCTGGGGTGGTGCTTATGATGCGGATGGTGATCTGGTGTTGGCCGGAGATGCCCTGAGCTCTTTTTACAGCAATACTCACCTGGGGATGTACGACATGGTGGCAGCCAAGTTTTCATTGCCAACTTCCACGATTACCTCCACGGGCACCGTGACGAGCATCACCACCTCATTGACGACTGCAACAGTCAGCAGCTCGAGTACATCTTCAACCAGCACATCTTCAACCACATCCACTTCAACAACGAGCAGTAGCACAACCACAACAGGTAGTAGCACAAGTACATCGTCAACAAGCACGTCCACAAGCACCTCCACGACCGCCACAGTATCATCTACAACAACGACAAGCACCACCACAAGCACTTCCACAACCACATCCACAACAGTGACACTTTCATCGACAACCACGACGAGTAGTAGCACTAGTACAACATCAACAAGCACCGCATCAACAAGCTCTTCCACAAGCACATCCACCACCACCACAACTTCATCTACAACTACTTCAAGCACCACCTCAAGCACTTCCACCAGCACATCTACTACCAGTACAACTTCATCAACATCTGCAACAAGCAGTAGCACAACAATCTCTTCAACTACATCCACCACCTTAACAACCTCGTCGACGTCTGAAACTCGCACAAGTTCTACTGCCACCGGCATTACCACAACATCCACAAGCTCATCCTCATCCTCAATGAGTACTACAAGCAGCACACTGACAGCAACCACTACTTTCGCTAAAATCTCCGCTGCAGAAGCTAGGACTTTGGAAGCAGAACGAAGACAAGAAGCCGCTGAAGCAGTTGCCAGGGTCAGAAGCAGTGAAGAAAGTGCCGTGGTCAACGCTTTGCCGCTGTTGAACCTGACAAGTTCCAATGGAACAACCACCCCACAGCCCAATGGCCCACCTGAAGTCACCGAAGTCACGATTGCCACCGACTTAGGTCCGGTCAAAGTGGCCCGGTTGCAGGTCAGGGACCTGGAAACCCGAACGCGGCGGATCCTGGTGCCGGGCGGCACGACTATGGCCATGGCAGAGGTAATGGTGGCAGCCGGCACCGTGGCTGAGATCCTGGCCACGGCCGGCGTCGACAGCAGGGAACCCCTGCTGCTGAGTGCCGTGGCGCTGCCTTCCTCGGAGAGCAGCAGCTTGGAGACGGATGCCGTGGTTGGAAATGCTGCCGTTTTGTCATCTGAATCGGTGAGCATCAACTTTTGGAGAGCGGATGGCAGTAGAGTTGAGGTCAAAGATTTGGTCAATCCCTTGCACTTTACCTTGGAAGTGTCAGATCCAGCTGCCAGGTGTGCATTTTGGAATGAGGACACTGCCAAGTGGTCCGAGGATGGAACTGCGACAGTGTCTGCCAATGCGACCCTTGAGTGCAGCACCTCACATTTGACCATTTTTGGAGGCATCAAGGATGTGTTTCTGAAGAATATTGTCTTGGCCTTGACATGCAGCACAATCTCAACGCTTCTCAGTGGAAGTGCCTTTGCAAAATTGCAAGACACATCCTGGCTATCCAGCACACCGTCCATCCTGAATATGCTCTTCCATGTGTGCGGAATGATTTGTTTCATATTGGCCTGGCTGTATGACTGCAAACAAGAAAGGATCATTCCACAGGAGGAGAGGGAGTTGATTCTCATGCAAGTGAAAAAGATGGAAGAGAAGGAGGAGACGGAAGAAGAGGCTGAAGAAGATGATGATGCACCAAAACCATCCAGGTGGACCCGCTGCATGGGTTGTTTCAACCAGTGCTTGGAGTATGTCAGCTATGCCAGTGGCGGGGACGCTACCCTAGAGGCTTTCAAAGAATTGGCCAGCAATGCAGATACTGCAGCTGTGAACCGAGCCATTGCCAACATTCAATCGCACAAGTCGGGCATTGCCAGGGCTCAAATCTCCATTTTCAATCAGCACGATGCCAAGAATCTGGTTCCAAATGGAATGCGCCCGACAATCACCAAGGCCACGACTGTTTCGGCATTTGCGCTTGACAGCGAGGACCATGGTCAAGCAGCAGCTGAAGAATTTCTTCAACGAGGATGGCTGTGTCGCATTGCAACCCTGTGGCCCGCATCACATCCATGGATAAAGGCCATGCATTTTAGCATATTGGCACCAGTGCGGGTGAATGTGGCTTTGCTGTTCTTGAAAATAACTAGCGCAGGAGCTCTGGGTGCAGTATTCTACTCAAGTAGCAGTCCCAGTCCAGGTTCAGACCCGGAATGTTTTCCAAAGGGTGGTGTGGCAAAGGCGGTGCAATCTTTCGCGGTTGGATTGGTCACCACCATGTTGGGGGACGTCATCATCTCCATCCTTTTCGCTTTACAGGTGAAAAGGGTGGTTTTCTCTCCCCATAAATGGTCAGAAGCGGAGAAGAGGAGGCAACATGTTCTCTGGAGCATTTGGAGCGCTGTTTTTTGGATCATTTTTTTGATCTATGGCGGTTGCTGCGAGCTGTACATCTTCCTTTTCCTGGCGAACGTCATGGAAGCAGATGCAAACAGCTGGCTGCAGAGCATGGGAGTCTCCCTTCTCGAAGGTTTGCTTCTAAAATCTTTGCTGACAGCTTTTGCACTTGGCACCATCGCTACTTTAGTGCTTTGTTGCCGGCCCCATGTGACTCAAAAGGTTACAGCCAGATGGATCAAGGATGCAGATGCAGCAGATGCATCAGATGCATCAGATTCAGATGCTGAACCCCAGCAAAATGGGGAAGTGACTCGTGGCACCAAATCCTTCCAGGCATTGGAGGTCAGGGAAGCTGGGCAAGTGACATCGGTGAAACACCAGGACGATTCCTTCCTTGGGGTACTCCCAGGAGCAGTCATGGATTCAAGCGGGCAAGACGGGCAAGATGGGCAAGACTAGGAACACAATCTGGTTGGTCATTTCAAGATGTTTCAAGTACAGCACTGGATTCGTTTTATTTTAAGATGTGTCATTCCTACTTGGAATAATACAGTATAATTCAGTACAATAAATGATAAAGTATATAATATTGAGAGGCTGTCTTGTTTTCTTTCATGCGGAATGACCCCCAACCAGAATCAACGTTTGAAGTTCCAAGCTGACTTCAGCTTTGTAGCATATTGATGCATCATATTGCAACTTTGCAACATTTTCCCCGGGAACAGCGGCATGAACCTATGCCGTGTGTCCCGCCACTTTCACACTTTTGCACAGCTGCGACGGCGCTGTGAAGTTGGGACTGTGGCATGGTGTGGAAGATCCAACACACGGCATCACGCTACAATATGTTACAATATGTTACAATGACACATGCACACTTCATGCACTTCAACATACTTCAACCATTTTCAACGATGTTTTGGGGCTTCGTATCTCCAGCCATCCATAGCCATCCACTCGCCCATAGCAGCCATAGCAAGTTCTCATTACTTTTTGGATAGCGCTGGTGCGGGTCTTGCTACAAGATCTACAAGATACCCGGAGCGCTAAAACGACCCTGGATCCCTGGATTGTGAAATTCAAAACGGGCATGTAAAATCATGGTAACTTCGGGGGCGCTGAAAGACTGGGTACAGTCAGGTGTATGTCAATTATTCTGATTTTTTTGATTTGCTGGGAACAGGGCGATAGTTATCTTTTCAGGCGGTGAGGTTTTTTTCACCTCCCCAAGGGCGGTTTTTTCCTCACTGGTGAAGGTTGGCTTTTGGAGCCAAATTTCTGCTTTGACTGTAGTTCTAATGTAGTTCAGTCTGGGAGCAGTTTGGGCACGAAGTTGCAACTTTCGCTACATCGGAGATCATCGGAGAAAAACGGAGAAAACACATGTTTCCCAAAGGGATTTGAGAGCATGTGTCGCAAGTTCCACAAGGTTGATCTTTGAATGTGAGCGTGAGTGATGTGATCTGCGCATTATCGTGTGCTGATGTTGTATTCTGACAGATTCGAACAGGTTTGTTCAATTCTTGGCTTTGAACTGCGGCACTACCAACAGCCTTTCCCTCGGTGTTACTTCGCACACTCAAGGTGAAGATGCAGAACCAAGCCATTGAGAACAAACCTTCTGCAAATGCACCGCTGCCATGAGGGCAACAGAATCAGCACGTGGGAGTCATTCTAAATGCCATGCAAGACTTTGAGTATCCGAGTGACATCTGCAGATATGGACGTGTGTCTTTACCTCAGTCGCGAAAGGCCCTGAAAGCGCGGCGAAAGGTTTCGCGAAAGGTCTGGATACCACACAGGTAGGGGTCCTCAATTTTTGGAACCCCCACATCAGCCAGCAGCAACTGGTGTTTGGTTTTTAGTTGTCTTTAGATTCAAAGGCAGGACAGGATGTCTTCAAAATATCTCGTTCCAAATGTGTAATCCCTTTCTGTGAAGATAATCCCCAAGTGACTTACATTTTTGAAGCCAACCAGCAGGTCCAAACAGAAGCCTTGCAGCGGATACTTTTTGGCAGGGGGCCCAAACATGCCCAAACCATGGGAGTTACGTAGGATCAACCGCAACCAAAGATCTTGGTCATTTATGATATGGGTTTGTCTGAAAATAGGGTATATTCCCAATTATAGCCATTTAATAGGGATAGGTCATTTATGATATAATTGTGCATCCATGACACCTAGTGGCAGTTTTTCCAGGCAGCACGCCAGAAGGCACCAATTTTCCAAGGCGGGGGCGCAGTGAAGCGAGTGATGTTCTTTGTGAGGACCTAACGAAACGACATCGGCACGGCAGAACTCATTAAAATTAATAATAGATAGCATGCAATTTTTGGGAAACAAGGGAACACGTGGTAGAATAGTGGAAGAGACTAAGACATGGTCAGCGAGAACTAACTACAACGCCAACTGGCAGCACATCAAGCTGCACCACACAATCAAAAAATGCTGCTGTGAGGCATTGCTTAGCACTTGAAGAGCAAGTGTCCAGGAGCCCTGTGGATACGGGTGACACCGGTCATCGTGTAGGCTTTAAGACTTTATGCCCGAAGACTTTGGTACAAAGTTCCACCAGATTAATCTCTTGAGTCTTCTTTTGAAAGAGTGTTTGAAACCAATAAACTTAGCGTTTGAAAATGAGAAATGGTCTTACGCGCAGATTCACTGAAACCCGTTGACACACAACAACAGCACATGGTACCACAGTAGCTTGGATTTCTCCAGAGGTCACACCCAAACTGATAGTCGAAAGAGTCGGAGTTGGATGCAGGGGGCCCGCGCCCGCCTACCTCATCACCAATGGCCTCGGCATGTGGTATCATCAGTCAGGAGTGGATTTGATTGGGCAGGACTTGGGACTCTTAGGAACGAGCGGGGCAAGTAGTACCGTGGCCCTTTAATGCATGGTACAAATGGGTGTGTCCCCGGAATGTTTCTTTTTTTTCTCCTCTTTCGCTGGTTGGTTGTTGAAACGATTCTTGTTTTCCATCCAGCAAAATGATGATCCCCAGTGACGAGCATCCATTCTTCAGGGGGTTGAAACTGCAGACACGCACAAATCAAGAAGTGTAACACTCCCACACATGTCCATTTTCAATAAATCCTGCGGTTGACGTAGCCGCTTTTTTACTTCAAGCATTGGCGAAAAACCATTGCGGCTGCGAGCTGCGATTGCCGAGTTGGAGGTGCCCGGAACTGGAAGTATCTGTTCTTATCAGTGTGACAACGAGGGGAACTACAACATAACGATCCAGGTTGGTGGCTTCTTTAGGTTATGAGCCCAAGCTCTTCCCTGTGATCAACTCCAATGACCTCGTTGTATGGTAGGAGAAGGGCCACGCAACAGGAACTCCAACAAGGTGAACGTGAAATGCAAGCAGCTCAAGAAAGGCTTGAACGTGAAAACCAAGAACTACCTCTGGAGGATCAAGGACAAGGGTTGGAAAGGGAGCAAAACGATTTGGTAGCAGCTGAAACTTCAGTAGTAGCCTCAGAAGAGAAAGGTGAAAAGGAGTCAGAAACTGTAAAGCCAATTCAAGATGTTTCCAAAAGCCCGTCAGCAGTTGAGCCGACCCCCGCAAGTGAAAAGGGAAAGGTAGGTTCAGCAGCTCCTTCAGTGGTGCCGATTTCTCCTCAATATCATCGGCAAGATGCGAATGGTGGTGCTCTTGACTCGTCAGGACAAGGGGTTGGGGCAGCCACACCACAAGTGACTCAGCCTCAAAGCAGTAGAGATGGGATGGAATCAGTTGCCAATAGACCGGATGTTGGTTTTGCTGCCACCCCACAAACTCCTCTGTTTACAAATGAGCAGCTGATGCAATGGAGAATGTTGGAAGAACAAGCTCCTCTGTTGCTTCCTCGAAGACTCGACATGATGTATAACATGCCACTGCAACGTCCTCAATTCATGGAGTTTGAAGAAGCGAGGTTGATAGAAGAACGTAGGAGGCATGAAGAGCTTAGGCAACATGTTGAATCACTGATGATGGAAAACAGAAGGTTGTCAAAGCGTGTGGAAGAGTTGGAAAGTAGACAGGTAGATGCCGCAGAAGAGTATCATACACCTGACCAAAAAGGAATTGAGCCCGTGTCTCGTAGAAAGGAGGCTGCAGACCACCAAAAGGATGCTGCAGACCCCCAAAGTAAGGCTGTAGACCCCCAAAGAAAGGACGAAGACCTTCAGAGAAGGTTGGGAGCCTATGGAAGGGAAGTTGAAAGCCGTCAGCAAAAGTTCGAGGACTGTCCCAGGGAGGCTGCAGACCCCCCAAAAGTTGGAAGTTCTTCGATCCCAAAGACATCAGGAGGCTGTAGACCCCCAGAAGATCCGCCAAAGGAGGCTGGTAGACCCCCAAAGGGAAGCTCTACGGGCCAAGGTGAATTCACAGAGAAGTCACTGGAGTTCATGGCGTTGATGATCGACTCCATGAAGGAGATGCAGCGAAAAATGACAGAAGGGAAAGAAGAGGCAGGCATGGTGAAAGGGATGGAGATCGTAAGGACTGGAATTCCTGACCTACCTGTGTTGCCGTCTTGGAACCCAACAACAGGACCATTGCAGCTGGGAGACTGGCTTTTGATGGTTGGTCCACTGGTGGCTGATATGTCAGCATCTTCAGAAGAATGGTGGAAGTTGACAATCAAAGAAGCTGAGGCGTGGTACAAGGATCACATGCAGCTCGCCCCCTTGGAAAAGATTCAACACGGCCATGCTACACCGTCTTGTTTGCAGGACACCAAGTGGCAAAGGCTGGAACGACGAGTTTCAGTGATGGTGCTTCAAAGCGTTCCAGAACAAGTCAAGGAAGAGTTGGTTGCATCTCGACGCCTTGAAGTGTTCGGCATCATCACCTACCTTCATCTTCTTTACAGTCCAGGGGGAGTGACAGAAAAACAACTCCTTTTGAAGACTCTTGAAGATCCTGCAGAAGTCTCAGTTTTGTCAGAAGCACCTGCCGCTCTACGACGTTGGTTGCGGTGGAAAAGAAGAACTTTGGAAATTGGGGCAACACCGCCCGATCCTACGTTGCTCCTCAAGGGCTTGAATAGGTTGGTGCGAAAGGTGGTGGAACCAAATCGAGAACTACAATTTCGTGTGTCACTGGTACGTTCCAGTTTGGGGGTCGACACAACCCCTAGCGACCTCAACATCACCCAGTTCGCCAACCATCTCTTGGCGGAGTTAGAGCAAGCTTCACTAAGTGAGAAAAGGTCCTCGAGCTCTACCAAAGATCAACCGAAGTTGAAAAAGATTGAAGATAGTCAAGGTGGAAGAGAAGGTCGAGGATATGAAAGAGAAGAAGGTCAGCAGAAGGAAAGACAAAGGTGCAAGTTTTTCTTCACTGATGCTGGTTGCAGAAAAGGAAAAGAATGTCGCTTTTTGCATGACATCACCAAGGAGGAGATGGCAGAGAAAAGGCGATGTTGGACATGCGGAGCTGTCGACCATCTGTCGCC